TAAATGATGATGTCATTTTATGACAAAAATATCAAGGCAAAAAATTTTACATGATCATATCACATGAACAATAAGTAATATTTAACTAAAACCGTTATTGCATAGTTTTAATACCCAATTTGAATGTGGTTTAGCCAATTTATATAATAAAGAATTTTTTAATTTTTTTATAAATTTAATATACATAACTTAGAAAAATATATATATAAAAATAATATAGTATATAGGTGTGTTTTATAATAATTCTTTTAATTTTATTTTATTATTTTTATTAAGGAAATTTTCGACATTGGAGTCATTGTTCATTTCGAAGTTTTTTTTTATTGTTTTGTGTGTTTTTCTTCCCTTGGATAAAGAATTAGTAGCCAGTATCATTTAGACCTGGTTCTATTTTCTTAATAAATAAAATACTAAACCATAACTGTCTCATAGTCACATTATTCGAATATCATCACTATCAGTAGATTCTGTTAACTCATAGGTTAAAACTATACAGGTATATCGCAATAATAAGTAATGAGAATGGTAGTTAATGACACAATTTTTGGGTCTTTTCCTGGTAACTTTACATTGTTTAGGTAAATTGTTGAAATGTAAGGCCATAACATCCTCATTAGCTTTTTGCATCTGAATTTGATCCTATATGCATTTTTATCGTTTTTTTTTTTTTTTTTTTTAGTACTTATATTATTTTTTTTATTTCAATAAACTCTCTTTCTCTTGTATAATGATAAAATTTTGAGCAATTTCAGCTTAAATTTTTGATCGTCACTCTTAGCTAATCAAAAACGAGAATTTGCTATGACAAACAGCTAGGGTATTTTCTGTAATTCGTACACTTCATGCTGAATTAAAGCAATAATTATGATTTATTAGCCAGGAAATAAAAAATATGGTATCAGCTAGCCAGTCAGTTAATTCAATCTAATTAACTATCATTGACTACGGCTATAGCCGATCAGCTAGCCTAACCGAATTGATCCCTAATCAAAACTCAATTTTTATATTTTTTGAGTGAAGATATCTTGACGCTCACCAAGCCAAATCTGATGAACTTCTTTTTATCTGAATTCTAAAAATATGTATAATTCAAATTAAAAAATTTATTGAATTTGGCTTGACGATTGTCAATGCCTATAAATAAAAGCATGTCAAATTTTTTTATTTTTGAGTGAAGATATCTCAGTAACTACCAAGCCAAATTTGATAAACTTTTTATTTGAATTCTATGAATTTGTAGAATTCAAATAAAAAAAATTTTATCAAATTTGGCCTAGTGGTTAATAAAATACCTTCTTTCAAATTTTGTGAAAAATTTGCATTGTTATAATCTGTGCTCGGTTTTTAGTCACGTGATGTAGATCCATGCAGAAAATTATTCAACATACGTACCAATTTTTATTCTGTATGTTCGTACGTATGTACAGCACAGCAATATGATGCGGCAAGAAAAAAATTCCATGTATCTGATATAATCGAAGTTTATTCTGAGTTCCCT